CCACAACCTGTACAGAATTCTCTGTCCTGACCCGACGTTTCTTAGCCACCGGGGGGCCTCTATCATTGATAATATCTTGTGCTCTAAGAGTCTGATAGAGGTGGTCGATGATCTGGCCTATATCGATGACACAATCACGTCGGATCACCTCCCCCTAATCGTCAAAACTTTTCTAACCTTCCCTATTACGTCAACCCCTGAAACCATTTCCTATAAAAATCACAAAATCACAAATGTCAAACGATTCCACTCCCTCATCAACCAAAAACTTTATTCCCTTGATAATCCTCCCCTCAATCATCCCAGACAAATTGACGCACAAATCGACAAAATTCAAAAACTTATTTCCGACTCAGACGACTTATCCACCCCAGCTTCAACCAGACGAATCGATCAACTCCCACTTCCACCTTATCTCATAACTCTTATTAAACACAAACGCAAACTATACAGAACATTCGTCCGAACCAGAGACCCAGTTCTAAAAACCAAGTGCAATCGACTTAATGCACGCATACGTCTCCTCATCAACCAATTCACCCAGAAAAGGTGGATAAAGGAGGCAAAATAACTTGACCACAGGGACGGAATAGCTTTCTGGAACAAATTCAAAGTCCTTACCGGACAAAAACGGAAAACCGACAGTCACCTAGTGATTGACGGTAACATCATTTCCAACCCGAAGCAGAAGCCTTCCGTGAAGATCTCGAACTGACATTTCGACTACCTGAAGACGCTCATTTCGACAACCTTCATCTCAACCACATACACCAGCAAGTGCCTGCGCAGCTGGGCAGGCATCCCGGTCAGATTCACCTTGACTCCAACTGCCTCTTAAGATTCCCATTCAGCGAGGAAGATATCCTCAATACTGTTCACAGCGGTAGATATACCGCTCCACGCCCAGACTCAGTGAACCGCCGAATACTGAAACACCTCCCCGACTACGCCATTCCTTTCCTCAAACACATCCTTGATACTTGTCTAGTACACCCTACTTCCCAAACTCCTGGAAACAGCAAATACAATCCTAATTCCAAAACCTCTCAAGGATATCACCAAACCTGATTCCTATAGACCTATCAACCTGCTTAGTTGGCTGGGCAAACTGCTGGAACGATTAATGACCAACCGACTGAATAACTTCCTTCTAGAACACAACATCATCCCTCCCCACCAGCATGGTTTCAGACCTGAACACTCCACTCAGAATGCACTAGTCGAATTACACACCCATATCTCCAAAAATATCAACTCTTCTTTTGGCACTATAGCCATCCTCTTAGACATCCAGAAAGCTTTCGACAAGGTCTGGCACGCGGGCCTGATCTGGAAACTTATCCAAATTCGTCTCCCACACCACTTTATCAGACTAGTAGCTTCCTACCTATCTAACCGACAAATCCGCGTTAAAGTCGGTGACGCCTTATCCACCCCCTTTTCCTCCAAATCCGGTGTTCCCCAGGGCTCAGTCCGCGCTCCTTCCTTATTTCTAATTCACGCTCACGACGCCCCACTCAGAAAATCCTCCAGTATGCCGATTATACTATCCTCTACTCTTCCGCCCCCAACACCTGCAGCTTGCAAATTGAAGCACAAAACATGATCGACCACTTCGAGTAGTGGTGCAACAAGTGCCGTATCAAAATTAATCCCACCAAAACCCAAACCATCCTATTCCGACATCCTCACACCTCTACCCGTCCTAAACTAAATCTCGATAACTTGAACCTCAGACTCTTAGGAGAAAACCACATACTCCAGGATTTGGTGTCCTACTTGGGGGTCACTTTCACGAGGACCCTCAACTGGGAGGTCGACTTGACAGTAACTCTGGACAGAGTCCGGAAGAGAGCAAACCTGCTAAAAGCACTGAGAGACAAGCTCGGGAGGTGCGACAATAAAACTCTCCTACATACTTATAAATCTTTCATCAGACCAGTCCTAGACTACAGAGCGATGATATACTGTACGCTTCCCCCGAGACTGTCCCACCGTATCTTAACTACCGAGAGAAGAATCCTACGTAACATCCACAACCTCCCTTACCGTTACTCATCCCAAAACTTATATAACCTAATGAACACTACACCAATCAACATACGATTTCAGGAACTTCAGGGACGACACGCGACTAGAACGATGAGCAGTAGCAACACCGATGCCATCAACTCGCTGACCACACCGTGGACTCCTCGTGGAGGACCCAGAAGGATTCCTAGTAAGAAGCTCCCGTTTTCCCCAGCCAGACGCCTGGGAACAATGAAAGATCCGTTGGAGCAGATTCATGATATTCTAGACGAATATCCACTTGGAATCAGATAGCGGACAGCTGCGTCCTGGAAGGAGCTGAAATCTGAAGCCATGACCCCCGGCCTTTCAACCCGTACCCTAAAAACCCCAACGACCACTGCAACTGACCCGGACCTCTAACGGATTAAAAAAAGGAACACATGACACTAACACAACACTACACTAGACATCATTAGTCAAGACACCACACATACAACTCACTATCCCTGAAGAGGCATACGCCTATAGCAGGGCCCCACACGAAACAAACTCACAATATTATGTAATTATTCTTAAAAGCCAATAAACATTTTTGACTTAACTTGACTTGACGTAAAACCGATTGCTGATCTGACGACGCAGGCCGTAGCGATGTGGCGACGGGTCGTCTGCGCAAGCGACTGTACGATTCTCTTCCCACTGGTTCGGCGTTACGCTATCTCTCTCGCCACAATGAGCTCGGATATACATATATAGTGTATACAGTTGTGTTTATTACAGTTTACATAACCAGTGTGTTACTAAATGAATGATTTTTCAATACAATTAAAAATTAAATATGTGCTCTGAAAAACTTGCTTGAAGAATAAATTTCATGAAGACTGACAAAATCACATTTCAAAATCAGCTGATATAGATTGAAAAATTTATTATTGATATTTAAAATTTAAGATCTTTAGTAATATGTTGCAATAAGTAGCATTTTCACATCAAGCCATTTTACTTCCTGTCGTAATCTGTTCTTTTATGCATATCACTTGTGCAAATCAATTTCGATGTTCCACATCTGCCAGGCGTCCCGTGACGGTTCACAATTTTTTATCTAAGAGTAACTTCTATGCATGATCTATACATCTTTGTCCATTTTGGACTTAGTTGCTTTCTTGATTTTCTCGTAAGTTTTTTGCATTTCTTGTATGAAGATGGAGAAACAGAAAACCAAAAACCTTTCTTATCTAAAAAATATTGGAACTTTCATATTGAAAACCATTGTGTTCGTCTAACTTTATATTAATATTTTCCAATATCAGTTATTGAATTCTTTATGAAAATATTAGTTTCTGAAATATATTTCTTGCCCCCCAAATTTGAGCTGCAGTCCTCGTGGTTCTGGTTACCTATCAGTAGAAGAAGCAAGAGCCGAATTGATCCCTCTACGAAACCCTTCATCACTTGGAAGGATCGATTGCAGCTTGAGAAATCATTTTAATACAAATTATGTGAAACACTTTCTTCCTTACGAATCAGTAGACAGTTATCCTGAAAATTTTGCGAAGAAAATCTGATTAGATTTTTCAGGAAACACTTGCTACATGAATAGCATTATACAAGTGTTGTTCATGACGAATAATTTCAAGAATGAGGTTTAAACGATGAACAAGAACCAAACTAAAACAATTGTTCATGCAGTTGCAGTTTCGTGAGAATGTATCATCTTTCCCACCAACCGATTTCCTGGAGTCTTTGAAGTCCACTAGATACTCACTAGGACAACAAGAGGATTGCTCTAAATTCTTGGGGTTCTTGTTGAATACTCTTCGTGAGCAGGAAAATAGCAGAATCAATACTCCTGGCCGCTCTGGATTGAATGATTCCATACAGTCCATCTCGTCTTATGTCTGTAGATATTTTGCTGGAAAAATCCTAACTAGTTTACTTTGTAGTACATGTTCAAGAGGAAGCAAAAATGTATGTGATTTTCTAGAACTTCAACTAGCGTTTCCTAATATGACTGATAACCATTCCGTGCAAAGCTTATTGTTAAATCATTTGAAAATGGAAATTTCAACGGGTGATGATCAACTGTATTGGCAAACATGCGCCAAACTAACCGACTATTATGAGAAAACATGTATACCTGAGGCACCAGTCAATCTAATAATAATACTAATGGTCTTCAAACATGACTCAACCTCTGACGGAATCACCAAACTCTCACGAAGTTTCGAAATAAATGGTACACCATTAATCCAACAGACCACTATTATAATCTTTATGCAGTCATTGTTGTTCACTGTGGTTCTGGCGTTGAATCTGGTTATTATCACGCATTGGTCTTCTGGCGGTGTCAGATGAATTTATTGGAGCCTCTGAAGACACCCTACAGTTTGTTTTATGAAAGAGAAGATACTAACAGATCAAGATCTTCAGATGATGTGGTGCTGCAGGTTTTTCCGGGTTTTTCTGCAGCTGAAAAGGCAAATGCGCGACTGGAATCAATGAAGTCGCCCCAGAGCGCCAATTAATTTTTGTTGTTCTTTTATAATTTCATGATTTGTATAACTTTCTTCTTTAAAAAAGAATATTGAAGTTATTGGAAATATTAAAACATAGTTGAAAGTTTCTTTGGTTTATTCAGATAAATTTGGAATTTTGTCGCAAATGTGAGAATTCGTTTCCTATGGACTATATGAACATACCAAAGTATAAAAATAAAGTAGTTTCATTGATATTATTGCAAATATTATGTAGGTATAGTAACAAAATATGAAAATGCAGACACCCTTCCAGACTCGATTTTGGGTTCATTTATATCGATGAAGTATGTTTTAAATTTTAAATTGTCTAAAATGCCTTTCCCATATTCTTCAACAGCCTTTGGATAATATCGAACCCAATAGTCTTGAGCAACCGAATTCAACAAATATTCATATCGCCATACATTCCAGTTGAGGTTTTTCAGATGTTTTCGCCCAGAACATCTGAGAGACCTTGAAATCGAAAGTGATCCAATGTCGTTCAGGTTTGTGTGAATTTCTGATTTCGTCGCTATAGAACTAAATAAGAACATTCACGAATTCGTTGTTATTGTGGGGAAATTACGTAATGAGTTCTCCAAGGAAAGGAAGGAAAAAATCGGTTGCTGCGAGCAGCGCTGCATCATCCTCGTCAGGAAATGTAACCCCTTCAATTTCATCCGGTACTCCAACTCGTGAGCCTCGTAAGTCATTTCTTGGCGACTTTTTTCGATTTACAAGATCATTCGCCAGAGCAGTAGTTGCCAGTCCTTCCACAAGTTCAGGAGCTGAAAGTGAGTCAATCTATTTCCCCACGGATCTGCAGGAAATACACTACTCTGATTTGACGTATTTTCAAGATTACATTTTCAAAAATAATGTTTTAGTTCCGTATGTCAAAAGTCTGCTTAAGAATTCGAAAAGATTAACTGAGAACCATTTATTGAGGCAAGGAGATGAAATAGTTTTTTTATCGGATAAAGAATTTATGCTAATTGGAAGTATCTTCGTTGTATTGAAGGTAAATTATATTTTAACATAAATACCAAAAAAAGTGAAAGAAAAAAGTAATTATCTTTCAATTATTTCAATCTTCTTTAAAGTTGGTAGTTTAATGAATTTGATAACACTTTATGAGATTTTCAGTGTTTGTAATGAACACACCTGAAGAAGCTATTATACCGTATATCCAAGAACCAGCATGGAAAAAAGGAAACATTGAGTGATAAAGAGTCGGTGAAATTAGAAAAAAATTGCCATAGAGCCTATTAAAATGACGTTGAAATTCAGGAAACTTGGATTGGTTATAGAGATAGTCGAAAAGAACTGAAATTTACCAATTTAGTTTAATTTTTTCTGTTATTCAGGGAGATTTCGAAAAATGGAAAAGATTTTTCCATCACAACTTTTGAAGCTGTACAAGAAAGAATTTACAGATTTTTGATACAATGTTTTATCCCGAAGAAATCATCACCAATGTTATTTTTTATATGGACACGGTATAAGTTAGGCTTTTTGGCGGCAACTCCACTGATATATCTCACTTAATGAGGAATTTTTTAAAATTTTAATAGGTCATTCTGATAATCTGTCAAATGGGCCACTTTTTTCCGATTTATATGACGTCATATCTCATCTTTCGTTTTTTTCATACTGGCCTTCCCTGGAATGAATTTACGGGTATAGCGAAACACTAGTTGCGGTTTATAAACTGTTTACTGAAAATCTTACAATATAGTTTGACTTGATTACGTTATCATGGATTTTCATCAAGTATCGGTCAATTGCATCATATATGAGAAAATTACTTTTTGAACATCATGTGTACAAACTTTAATCTTCACTTGAATCATACGTAGCAGAAATGCATCTGCATGACAAAAATCATTCACAAATCTTCGAAATCAAATTTAGTTAGTATGATCTCAGCGATTGCGATTGGATTTATGAAAAATTTTAATACAATTTTTTATGGGACTAATTCCATTATTTATGTAATTATATTTACTTCTCAATATTTTCTAGTATTTGTTTGAAGGTGGTTGACAATGTTACATGGTGAATTTCATTAGTTCAGACTTCCATTGTCTAATGTGATATAAAATGATTGGAAATCCCTGAAAGAATCAATGGAATTGAAATGAATTGCTGAAAATAACAATTATATTAAGCAAAGAAACCCTTAAATGAAATTACAGTGAAATAAATTATAAGCAAACATTTGAAAATTGAACAAAAAAGATTTCAAGTCAAGTTATAAAGTAATTTCATTTCAGGGTTTTTTTGCTTAATGTAATTGTTATTTTCAGCTATTCATTTTCGATTGTATTGGTTCTTTCAGGGATTTCAAATCATTTTATATCACAGTAGACTAATGAAATTCACGTTTGTCGAAGGATTAAAGCCAACGTCATATGTCATCATTAATTTAAACGTATACGTAGCCCCTGGAAATTTGATGAAACTACAAATCATAAAAAATGTATCCAAATGACTGTTATCATTTCAAATTTCGAATACCATTCCATAGTTGATGTTTTCAAAAACATTAATACGAGACAATCATTATTAGAAACTATTTCACCCCATTATTATATCACATCATTCACATCTTCTCCCTCAGGACCTACTGAAACGACCTATGAGAAATTGAAATCCTGCCTGGTAATGGATAATTGATTCAACCCTTCATCATTTTTCTGTTTGCAGAGAGAGGGAACTATAGAGAGGGGCAGAAAGCGATTTTCCATTCCACCGACCGTTGTGTGAGATTTAATATTTGTTATTCGAATTTTATGTTGATTCCCTGTATGTCATATCTTCTCACATACGTGTCACATAAATTGTTATAAATGATCAAGTCTTAGTCTACTGAAGGTAATGAAATTTACGATAACGAGTATTTACTATATAATAATAAATCATGGTTTTGCAATATCAATAGGTTTTTTATGAGATTACCAAATAAAGTAGTTGTGAGACCCACTGTGAATTTCTGAATCAGAAACTATGTGATATATTTTTACGTTTTGAGGTAGGCTCTGTAAAATAAATAGTCTCGGATAGACGGTCTTTCTGGATGAGAGTATCAATTTGAATGATTACGGCCACTTCTTGCGACAATGCAACCCTATGTTATTGTTCTACAAAAAGTTCATTATGACATGACATCAACTTGTTTAACAGGTAACTTCAAATCATCAAAACCTGGCATCCCGAGCTAGAGCTGGCAAATATTTTCATTTGTAAACTCATTTGGTTTCAAATATCGTTGGATTCATTCTTTCACATATTTTTGCAATTTCTTACAAAAATTACTTTCGAATTCAGGTAGACAATTACGATATTTTTTTCAATTCGGCATCAATGTTTTACACCATCCTACACTCGTAATGCACGGAACCTTTGGTGTAGTGATAAATATTACAGGAGTTTCATCCTTACACCAAACCCTCATTTTCAACACCTCGACACGTGTTTCAATCACTAAGTGATCATTTTCAAGAGGAAGATTAAACTTAAGCTATATAAAATGTTGTTCTTATTTATACATAGATACCTCTTGTAAATCTGATAACTGAAAATACTTATTTCAACAAGCTATATAGTAAACTATTAGGTATTGAAAAGAGAAATGAAAATGAATGTTGAAAATTTCTATATATTTTACCACTTAAGATTCTCACGGATAAAGTATGATGAGCTGTTTTCTCGAGTTTCGCTCCGTGTTCTGTGTATTTTATCCCCATAAGGATTATTTTCATAAAATAAAATAATCCTTATGGGGATAAAATACACAGAACACGGAGAAAACAGCTCAAAAATGAAAATATTCGTGGATACAACACTCCAAACAGAGGGGCACACCGCGGACACGTGTTTCTGGCTATTGGCCTCATCAGCGCGACCAAGCGCAGCCAAGTGTAAAGGTGGGCAACACTTGTTTGCCGAAAGCAGGAAACAACACAAACGCACGGAGTCAACAACAGGAGCCAACCGCATATTTGTGGTTCCAGTTAGAAGACCTAGAATTCACACCGCGCTGATGAGGCTAATAGCCAGAAACACGTGTCCGCGGTTTGCCCCTCTGTTTGGAGTGTTGTATCCACGAATTTTTTCATTTTTGATTTATATCATTTTTCTCTTTTCATTATGATTTCCTACTACGTAGTAATCGCTACATCCATCAAGTTATTAGGTATTGGTTCACCGTCGTTATTCATAATATTATCATGTTGATTTATTTCTAAGCTCTCATAGGCATCTAGATTCCTGTTGTTGTTAACATGTCTAACTTATCTTAAAGAACTAAATCATATGGAATGGTTTTGTTGCGAAACATGATGGGTGACTGCTGATTTTTCTGGTCTTCCATATTTTAGGTGTGTTAAGTATTTATTATCTTTTGCTTCAATAGATATTTTTGCCTGTCCATATTTTGCATCGCAGTCCTTGCATTCAATTTCGAATTTGCCAAATTTTCGACTTTGTCCTCCGTGTATTGATGGTATGGAACTGATGAGATTTCGGTCATTCTCAACATAAACTTTTTTATCTACAATCTCCCTCAAAAAACTATTACTGACTGTTATTTTCTGTATTGTCATTTTTTCTTCTGTAAATCTCTCATGTGTAAGAGGAAACGTCAGAAGACGATGCACTACAAAATTCAACCCAGCACGTTTGTGCTGTCCACAGTGATGTGAACTATCAGGAATATACTTATAAGTGCTTGGTTCCTTCGTATTCTAGCTTTCCACATTGACTCCTCATTATCAAAACGTCAAGAAATGGAAGTTGTCCTGTATTTTCTAACTAAAATGTGAAATAAAGTCCTCAATATTCGATTTTTGTTATCGAATATCACAAAAACATCATCCACATACCTCAGTTATATCCTAGGGAAATACAAAGTATTTCCTTTCAAATTAAGTTTTATATCTGAAAATCGTTCAAATTGAAATCGAATAGTTTTATAGTAACATTTTTAAAATACTAGAGAGATAAAATCACAAAGTGAATAATGAATGCACAACTTTCACAGAAAAATAATCTGAAGTTCGTCACATTAGATGTGTCTCATTCACATCCAGACCACCTTTCCACAACTTCCAAATAACTTCAGATGGAAGTATGGTTTAATAAGTGATGTCTTGAAGAATATACAGCGTCTCAAGTCGAGCTTTCAGTGGACCTTGGAAATGTGTGAAGTTATCCAAACTTGTTAGATGGAAATGGAAAGTAACTCATTCACAAGTCCGTCTTTTCAACAAAAAGTCGTTTCTTCCTGAATATTCTTTGAAAATATAGTTTTTGTAATCGAAAATAGATTCGAAAAGAATGATTGGTTTCAATACTGAGCTAATCAGACCTGAAATATGTTTTAATTTCAAGAGTTACACACAAATGTGTGTAACTCTTGAATGATACTAAACAAACGACTAGCTCTAAAAGTGAACTTATAAATATTACTGGAGTTCTATTCCAACACCAAATCGATATTTTTACACCTCGACACGTGTTTCAACCACCAAGTGATCATCTTCAAGAGGAATGTTAAAAATAACTGGTGTTGGAATAAGTGTTTGGTGATTGGAACACTTGTGTCGAGGTGTTAAAAATAACTGTTTGGTGTTGGGATAGAACTCCAGTAATATTAATTACTACACCAAAGGTTCCGACAAATGTGGAAATTTACATGGGAAGCACTGAAAATATCAAAATTTCATTTTTGGATGCAACTTCTGTATTTACAGATATATATGTTTATAGTTCATCATCAGAACTTTAAATGGGCTATCGAAATATATTCATAGGTTTTTTTACGGAACGTTGTCCAACTTAGGCCTCCCAACTATGAAATTTCAAATACAACCCTCTTTCTTTTTTTGAGGATTTTTCATCGGCCACCTTCATTCAATATCGAGAAATTCACCGATATTTCTGAGCGGGTCAGTAATTTGATGGTCATGGAATAAATTGTTGCTTTTCACTACAGCCCTCGATCGTTACTTTATATATAGTTGTTTCTGAGAAATTGTTCTTGAAAACTTGTTCAGTACCCCACTCTAGTGCACAAATAATTAATAAAGTGTAACCGTACACGGCCAAAGATACCTATTCACGTTTTTCGGATTTATTGGCAATTTTTCATGCCTGACGTTTTATCTACAACTACGGTATGCATGGACACAGTGATTTACTTGTTCTCACTTCGCGAGGACTAGAACCTATACCCAAAAAACACGGTCAAATAACACGTAAAATAGCTTTCACAAATAATGAAGAGTCTGATATTGTCTTGGTTTTTCAAAGTATCGAAGAAATGGAAATATCCACTTTTGTTGGAACTCTTTACTGTGGTGAATGTCCTCATTTTTCAGGGACTCCATATAAGTAGGTAGGTTCAAGTGCTTGGGCCTATTCGACCCTCCATTCCGAAAGGATTTAATGTTCAACGAAACCGATTACTTTGTTCGGTGAATGATCTTTCCAGTCAACTGCAAAAGCCTAAATTTCCTTGTGGAAAAAAATCCACTCCAAGGTTGACAGACCATGGTACATTTTCCTCAGCGAGGACCTGATCAATCTGCCAGTACCTTCTCCAGGTAGATAAGCAACACAATGTATGCCTTGAGAAATTGGTTGTCTGGCATTTCAATGAGATGTCCCCCCATGGCAGCAAGGTACTTTCACCCAACAGCCAGAAGACGGTTTTTTAATCCTCTCTGGTCATCTAGTCCGGAGTGTTCAGTTCCGATATCGTACCTGGGAACCAATTCAGTTGATTGGTTGATATTGACGTTGTGGGATGTTCGAGGTGCAAGATTTCCACCTTAATTACTGCAGCAATCTTTCCATAACTTGATATAAATGTCAAATTATGAAAGATGAATCAATTAACGTATTCAAAAAACACACTTTGTGAGATTTCCGGTAACGAGTTTACAAAACCGCGACACGTGTTTCGCTATACAATAGCATCTTTGGGCGTCACATCATAGTATTTACAAAACCGCGAGAAGTGTTTTGCATATCACAGTATTGTGACGCCTGAAGATGCTATTGTATAGCGCAATACGGTTCGCCATTTTGTAAACTCTCAACTGGAAATATCACATTGAAGTGTGTTTTTTGTAAATGTTATAATGAATTTTCATCAAGAATCGGTCAGTTCTATCATATAATTAATAAATCCATTGATACAATGAGAAACGGAGTATGTTTTTCATGAGAAAATCGGAGTCTAAGTTCATGTCCCATGATAGCTATGATCTGGACTAAATGAACCTTTTTTTTTCAGTATGGTGGAAGGTATGATGTCGCTGTTTTCACCAACGAGGAGAGGGGTATCAATAACATTTATGCCGGACTTATGGTTTCAAGCAGAATTCGATACAATAAAACAGTGTTCAAGGATGTTTACGAAACTTTTTATACAACCGTCAAGAGAGTTATCCAAGAAAAAAAATTAAGAATAGACCATGAGACAATTTCACAGGTCTACGTGATGGAGCAGGAAAAAGCATTAAAATTGAAAAATAAGTGAGTATGCATGTAGAAATACTTATTGATTTATCTATATATAACTACACTGACCCGTTACTTGATGAAAACAGCAAGTAATAAGTAGATACATTTCAGTGGACGTCCATTGTCTAATATGTTATACATTGATCTGAAATCCCTGAAAGAATTTATGAAAATTAAAAAGATTCGCTAAAAAATGACAATTATATTATTCAAAAAAACCGAAATTACAATGGAATAGAATGCAAGCAACAATTAAAAATTTAACCATCAACAAGAAATGAAAATTAAAAATTAATAACAAGAAATTAAAAGAAATCAAAAATCGAAGATTCCAAGCCAAGTTACTTCACGACGTTCCGATTGTTAGTATCTGTATTGGCATCTGTAGAGTAGGGAGGGTGAGTGTAGGCCCACAGCACTTAGACCACATGTGACCCATTGTACATGGAGAGATGTTGACCTCCTAGGTCATCGTCCATCCTGTATTTTCCAGAAAGGTGGACAGGTCACTAGGATACATCTGCTTCATATCGGCCAAGACTCGTCGAACACACACTTATTGACATAACTCAGGACACTCGCATAGGACATGCCTAACAGTCTCATCTTCCTGTTCACACATCCTGCATAGAAGTGTGTCCACTATCCCTAAAATATGGAGGTTGGAATTAGTTGATAGTCCTTAGTCAGAAATCTTACTGTTAGGCGTCATCGCCAGATATTTATTCGGCGCCAGCTTCCCAGTGTCGCCCAGGGTGATCCTGGCAAGACTACATCCTTTGATTCCAGCTCATCTCTTCAGATATTGATCATGAGTGTGACGTTTGGCTAGTAGTCCTGCAATTGTCGAAGTCATCAGGCCGTAGGTGTCACTGGATCATAAAATTCTTAGTCCAGCCGCTTCCTTGGTAAAAGAGTCGGCAATGCTATAACCTTCACTCCTGTCGTGCCCTTTAACCCACCTCAGGATAATGTCATTATCTACCGAGGTTTTGGCTGAATCTTGGTGACACTCTAGTACTAGCCCTAAGCCTTGAACAGATAACGTGGTATCTGTTCAAGGCTAATAAGGCTTGTCCACTATCAGTGCAGATTGTTATGTTTCTGCCAGAAATTCCTTTCCAGGTTATTTCTTTTGTGACGATTGTAATACCAGCCAGTTCTGTTTGCCACGCTGGTATTTTTTCCCGTTCCCCACTTAATCCTTAGGCTTAGTGATCTGGAATAAACACCACATCCTGAGCCTCCTTTGGTTTTTGATCCGTCTGCATATATGCGTATTGTATTTGTTGCATCTGACACTGTATTTTGTTTTATTTGTATTTTGTAGTGTTTATTGAACACGAACCTGGGTTCAATTGCATCACTGGCTGCCGAAGACGATTGTGGATACTAACAATCGAAACGTCGTGAACTAACTTGGCTTGAAATCTTTTAATTTTTAATTTTCATTTCTTGTTAATAATTTTTAATTTTCATTTCTTGATGATAGTTCAATTTTTAATTGTTGCTTGGATTTTATTTCATTTTAATTTCAGTTTTTTTGCTTAATATAATTGTTATTTTTTAGCTAATACTTTTAATTTTTATAAATTCTTTCAGAGATTTCAAATCAATTTATATCATATCAGACAATAGAAGTCCGAACTAATGAAATGCACCACGAAACATTGTCAACGACTTTCTAATAAGTAGATGTCCTAGGGGTATCAATCTTACAAACCATGGGCATCTGACCCAAGGGTTTGTAAGTCTTCCAGAGCGAGCATACACATCTAATAATACCCGCGGTGCTTACAAACATCAATCGTTTATTATTTTCACAATGAACATTCGTGCAGAAATTCAATTTGATTGTAATACAATTTTATAATAATTGGCTTATATTCGTTCACAATAAAATGCAGCACCCATCCATTTGCTGGCGAAATACTTTTTTCAGCTGTCGAACTCAAAACGTCAAAATTCAGGAACGGTTTGAAATTCCTAAGGAAGTCACAAAAAAAATTGACAAATAGCAACACACAATTGGCTAGCAGAACATAATAATAAAGGTTCGCTGCTCAGTTACTTGGGATCTTATGAATCAAATATTCGATCCTAAAGCAAGCTTTGATGGTTGGTAATATCGTTGATAACCACAACGTTGGCTGTATCAGAAACAAATTAACACGTAAAAATGTGCTATGTAGGTACTACATTCCAGTAAATTCTTAGAAATCACTGACTTTTTTTGCCTCATTCTGTTTGTAGTGAAGAACGTGACAGTGACCAAACAGATGGGGAAACATGATGATTAAATATAAAGAATCACAACCTTGACAACAATGTTTTTATTAAATGCAATAATATTCCTGAGAATTCAGTTGCTACTATTATGGAATTGTACTTTAGTTTAAAACCTTCACCTCAAATATTCCAGAATAATGGGCTCATTAAACAAAATTTTTTTATTTCATAATTAGAAAGTTTATGTTTCATATGTACATCTGTGAAAAATCTGAATTTTCACTCTTTATCTTCCCCCTCAAATTAATTGTTGAATGTGTCGTTCACCGAAACGTGGCGTGGTCAAGTTTGACGTCACATCAGTCGACTCGGCGACAAGGGAGTGCTGGCGGATAAGGCGAAATTAGTGTGCTAAAGCCATAGAAAGATGTGTGCAGTTTGTCAACTGCGTGAATATGAATAGTGATAAAAAATGACGTTACAAGTATTGCATCGTTCCTGAATGCAAGAATTCTTCGGTAACTGCACCAGACAAAATTTTTATTTTACTGTTACGAAAGTTATGGCAGCGCGCTATGCGGAGGGCCGAATTTGTAGTTAATAAACAGGTTTTTCGAAGATCAAAAGCTAAACAGACCGTAAATATCATATACCACCGAAAATGAAATCGTTCTGGAGACATAGAAAACACAGAAAGTATTGGAAAAAATTACTACTAAGTTCCTCCGAGGACAGTGAGAGTTTGAATACATCAGACATGACTTCTGTTGATACATCATCAGATTCTACTTTGTCTGGAATATGAGTTGAAAACTGGAATTAGAAAAACAATATTGAGCGAAAATATATTTACTTCATAGAGAAAAATCCGAAATTATGTCTTGGAATCCCATGGTACTCTTTATTTATTATAGAACTTTTGTCTCAAAACTGCCAGTTACCTAGAATTGATATATACATTACTTTGAAGAAAATTAAATTGAACTGACGATTGCAGCGATTCATAATCTCCAACTGCAGGCCCGGTTGCCACCGCTCCAAACTCGTTTGCCTGGTGTGACGTCAAGATGTACCGCAGGCGATCTCACATTTTCAATTGCTCTTGCTCAGATGTTAATTGACATATAAACCGGAAAATTTTGTGGGATATTTGGGAGATGATTTACTTTTATAATATATAATTTTCAATAAAAAACTAAATTAGCCTGAATGAGCCCATATTAAGTTAACATTGTACTTGTACATTAAAAAAAAGTAATTTTATGGAGTCTCTTAACTTTTTCCTTCCAAAATCCATCAGAAAAGTTTTAAACGTAAACATAAGGACAATTTATCTTTTTTCGTATTGAAAACAATATATTTACAAGAATATTCATTTGTTGAAATTCAAATTAGACCTCACGAATGATTAAATGAGCCACAATACTTTTACAAAACAATTCAAAATATCAAATAAAACTACTAGAATGATTGAAATCTGTATAGATATTCTAAAATGTTTTACTCGTATAATGTGAACTTTGATTCAACCATTTTAAAGACCTCTTCAAATTGAGATTTCAAGATACTTCAACGTCGAAAGTGTCATTTTACAACTGTCCTGAATGATTGTATAAAACTGAGAACTGAAAAAAAAGTTATTTTTCAATAACAAAGAATCAAACGAAGAATTTCTCAAGATCGCTTTGAATTCAAATTTAAGATTTTTTTTATTTACAATATCTCAATCTTTTTTCTTCCAAATTATTATTACAAAAATTCTTTTGCATTTTTAGATCGATTTAAGTTAGTTATTTCAGAGTAATATAAAATCGATATTTATGGGTTTTACTCTAAAACAAATTTCCCAAAATAATACTTTCGTTTTTATTCTCTATGTGGGACGTATATAAATGATTTTGAGGACTATGAGATTATATCTCATGGATAAATTTTGAAATCATATAAATAACAGGAAGGAAAATAAAAAACCCTATTCATGTGAAATAAACGTAAGCAAAAATATATTTTTCTGCATTGAAACTTAACTCACCAAATTGCTTAGTTTCACTCAATGCTCTAATCCATAATCCAATTATAGCTCATCTGAAACATAAAAAAGTCGGTTGGTTATAAATTAAGGGACTAGTTTAATAATTATCATGGAATATAAGGAATGCTTATGTGGAATGCTTATCTGACACTTATGGTAAGCAAAACGTCTCAACGGAAAAATTGTTCAGCAGTAATTCATTTTCAGATTTATAGATTAATACTAATACGATTAGATTTATTTATTTTTGCATTGCATTGCAGTGTTTTCATGAAAACGCTTGAGAAAGCTATTGTATAGCGAAACTCGTGCTGCGATTTATTGAGATTTTGTGAACCATCCAGTGAAAATCCAGGGAAATTTTTTGTTCAAGTACAAAATATGGTCCTAAATTCCTCCATTTGCAGTTGTTGTTCCTTATTAAACAAACGCTAGTTTTTCTGGAGGAAATAAAAGTTTTCACCCTCCATAATCTGAAAAATATGAAAAATGTGATGAAGAACTTTATACACGAGTAAAAAAAGTAAAAAACCCATAATTCTCGTAACTTGTCGTATTCAACAATTTGGCCAATCAAAGAAAGACCTAAAAATTGATACAGATACTCATCGTCACGTTTCGGTAGCTGAAATCTACCTCCATCTGCAGAAATGGAAAAATTTAAATATATGAGCATTTTTTTGCTTATTCACTCAATTCCTAAACTTCCTGGCCAGTATTCATATTTTTCTTCAAGACCGGTAGCCAAGTACTTTCCATTTCTAAGGAGCTCTTCTCTCTTGACATAAGACTATAGGCTATATTTTTCAATTTACGCCTTTTAAAGTGGGGTTCATTGGCAATTCTCATATTTTTCAGTTGAGGAAAGTCTAAATACTCAATTAAAACATTTTCATGTCAAAATTATTGTGAAATAGTGACTGCCAACTTAGTTTCATCATTAAGGTTTTTATTTGGTTTTTATCTGTTTGAACTCGAGTACTTATTTCATTTATCAACTATTTTTGAATAAAAAATGTTTATATGCTTAGAAAGCGGTTTTTAATAATGAGTTTGTACTACAAACAAGAAAATCATCTGGGTCAAAATGTAACACAAATACGTATTGAACTTGATTCATAAATTCATGGAAACTGGCAACGTTGTAGTTCTAGGCCACGTTGCCTTAGTCTGTGACTAAGTTGTCTTAAGTATTAGGAGTGATTGAAGATATTTCAGTTTGTTGAATAATCAAACATTAACAACGCCATTTAGTTAGATCCTCTATTGAGGATCTACTAAATGGGGTAGCTTCTTATTGTGTGGTACTAGTGCAACAGTTCCTCAATAATACATTTCAGCAGGTCGATGGATTGAAAGGAAGGGCTTTATCGAATGTTCAGCCAGATCTCCCGATCTGACTCCACTGGATTTGTTTCTATATTGTTCCTATTTGAGTTGTCAGTTTACGGAATGCTAATTATTTGTAAGTTTCGAGTTATTTATTTATTTTCTTGATCTTATTACCGTTGAATTGTTGTGTTATGGCGTTGTTGGAAAGAAGAGCTCTTATGTGAATTTGACATTGTCAATAAAATAATTGTCTTGACGAAAAGTGGATATTTTTTTGGCACGAAAGTTTGATACGAAATAACATTGTTGACCCCGATGTGATGAGCAAGGATAATGCGACGGCAATGACTATAATGGATACTACCATTTGTTATTCAGGAGAAAGATATGAGACAGGTTTGTTGTGGAAAAATGATCATGACATCCTACCAGAAAACAAATATATGGCCCTACAACGATTGAAATGTATGGAAAAAAAATGCAGTCTCGACAAAAACTTCCCCGAAGCCTACTGCCAGAAAATCAATAGTTACATAGAAAAGAGATATGTTAGAAAGCTCAAACTGGAAGAAATTCTCACAGACAATCCACGTCTTTGGTACTTACCATACTTTGCTGTGAATAATCCGAATAAAACCAATAAAATATGCCTGGTATTCGATGCAGCCGCCACGTCAAGAGTAGTAAGCTTAAATACTAAACTTTTAGCTGGACCAGATCTATTTAAATCTCTTGTTACTATTTTATGGAAATTTCGCCAACGACGATATGGATTTTGTGGTGACGTCAGAGAAAAATTTTTAGTAAAACAACAATAAAAATAAAATAAATACAACAATAAAAATTAATTGGCGCTCCGGGGCGACTTCATTGATTCCAGTGGCGCATTTGCTTTATCAGCTGCAGGAAAACCCGGAAAAACCTGCAGCACCACATCATCTGAAGATCTTGTTCTAAATGTTTCATCAGATTCAAATTCGTGAACAAAATCGAAAGTCCTAGAGATTCCTATGACGAAACTTAGAGAGTGAGAAAGATCCAGATGAATATGAAATGACGGTCATGACATTTGGTGCAACTTGCTCTCTCCCGTATGTGCCCAGTTTGTGAAGAACTTTAATGCTGAAAATTTTTGTTCTGATCCCGAGATTCAGAACGCAATTATCAACAATACAGCAAACCCATCTCAGAGGGTGATATAGTAGTTGTGGTCGACGACCAAGCTCCACGATATAAATGGAAATTAGGAAAAGTCATAGGTGTGCATCCAGGTACAGATGCACGAGTTAGGGTGGTAGACGTCAAGACAGCGTATTCAGAATGTGGATGACCAGTAATTAAGAACTGCAAATCGAAACTAGAAGACTGTTGATTTTTGAAATGTTGATTATTTGATTAGTTTTGAATTATTTATTTATTTTCTTGATCTTATTACCGTTGAATTGTTGTTGTTATGACATTGTCAATAAAATAATTGTCTTGACGGAAAGTGGATTTTTTTTGGCACGAAAGTTTTATATGAAATAACACGGAAAGAAACTATTAGGTGCTGTAGGTTACACCTGACATTCTTTATAATGTAAGAGGGAAAACGAAACTTATTTTATACCACTGTATTCGTGATATCATCGAAATACGATATCGAGCATTTAATAATCGCATTTGGCATTGGATTGTTATGGGGGGGGGATTTCAAGTTAGAGTGGTCATTAGCTATTACTGCCGGCGCGTTCTCTAATGTAGATATCAGGCTGTAAGAGAAGTGCTAGATCGACACAATCTTGTACAAATAAATAATTATCAATTTCAGAATCCCCGAGGATAAGGAAATCTTAACAATAAAGGATATTCATGCTGAAATGGTGAATGCCAGTTGGAGCCATAAATACCCTGGATCTCTGCAATATATTCAATCCTTGATTCGTATGAACGGTGGATATGTTCTTGTTCCGAAAGGTCCCGAGGGAACTGCCTTGTCGTGGGGACTGAAGTCGGTTATGGGCCAAATAGGTATAGTCGAAACGATGCCTGATTACCGTCGAGAAGGATATGGCAGTATAATCGTTAAACATTTAGCCAGAGAAATCGCTGAAGAAGGAAATGACGTTGTTGTAATTTTCAGAGTAACCAATGAATGTATTCAGAGGCTCGTCGAAAAAATCGGGTTTCGAAAAGTGGGATCGTGTTACGATATTGAGGTATCTGATCCAGCTTCACAGCCGCAATCAATTCCACAGAAACAACCTAGATTAGCTGCCTCTACCTCCTCCTTGTCTTAATTCTTTCTTTCAAAATGGTTATTACAGAGCAAAAGATATTTCAACAGGTAGCTTTAGCGTTAGATGAATCTAATGAAAACACTTTATTTTCTCACAAAAGCACGTTATTTCCTTATGAAGATGAACTTTTTAGCGAACCGCATGTTAAGACATAGTGCTCTAGTTCTCATTCGTAGGGAAACGTGTTTTCATTAGATTGAAACATATCGGGTGAGGCCAAATTTTGAATTATTTATGCAATGACACATATTTAGTCACTTCGGCATGCAAGCAAAACTAATATTATGACAATAACTTAGACAAATATGTAATTAAGACTGTATGAATACTTTTTCTTGAAAATGGACCCATTTGCAGATATCAGGGGATCTATTTTCAACATTCTTACATTTGAACCAGTGCTCTTAACAAATGACATTGTATATATTTCAAGTATTTGACCCTTCATATAAAAAACGGATGATACTGTCACAATTCCAGAGTAATTTATTTTCTTGATATCGGTGATATGAGGTTATGTGTTTGAATGTTAATGCTTGTTTTCAATGCGAGATGGCACTGCGATATTTCCTGATATCTGTCATAGGGTCACTTTTTCAAGTTTGCAAACACATATATTCTTAACTACTTATTTCTCCATTTATTATCAAAATATTAGCTTTGCTCAGGTCGGTAACACTATCACGGATATCTGTTAATGATTTTGTTGTGCTCGTAGATAATAATATTTCGTAGGTCATAACATTTTTCAAATACTTTTGATTTCNTTATTTTGTTATGGAAACTTTCAAACGTCAAAATGAATTCACAGGCAGTGAATGAATATTTCCTAGATACAGGTTGCAGAATACAATATAGTAGTGAAGTTCAGAAATATTCAGAATATCTCTTCATGAAATCTGCTGGAGGAAAAGTGTGGTCTTAACGGTTATTAGGTAAATATATTGTACTTGCTGTCGAATATTTCATTGTGGTTTATTGAATATCTATTTCCTACAGTGATAACATAGTTATTGAACAAAATCAAAAATAAGCCTCACCCCAACAATATGGTTTGTTTGAAAGTTATTTTTTTATCATGATATTTATCAAAATGTGATTTTCTCGAAAATATTTCAGAAACTTTTATATGATGTATTTATTGATAGTATAAGTGTTACAATATAGTACAAGCTGATTTGTTTAGTTTATAAATTGTATGTGAATGCTACAAAAAATGTATTAATAATTGTGTTTTATATTGTAATTTATATTGTGGATGATCGTGTTCGTCAGTTTTATCATAAGTTCCTAAAACTAATTTTATATACATACGCATCACTCTCATTATCAAAAATAAAATTATTAAACTGTTTAACCTCTTATTTGCGTTCAAACATCGTTCTGATTACCGTTTTCATCATAGCGTCTTCCAATATGTATATACTTGAAATGATTATCAACAGATGATTAAAAGAGTCAAAAAGAAATAGAGGGCATCTCTTGTTGAAAAAGAAAAACTTTGAACTTTTGGAACATTGCCCAAACTATATTCAAACTTTCTTTATCACGAAAAGATATAAAAACTATTTAAATATATGCATATTACTGGAGTTTTTCCCCAACACCAAACCGTTATTTTAACGTGTTTCGATGACCAAGCGATCATCTTCAAGAGGAAGATTAAACTGTTTAATCTTCCTCTTGAAGATGATCACTTCGTGATCGAAACACGAGTCGAGGTATTAAAAATAACGATTTGGTGTTGGAAAAACTCCAGTAATATTCAAAAAGTAAAATGTTTGAAATATATTCTCAAGATCCCAAAAAGATTTTGAGCCATGTACTAATTCTGAACTCATACCGATTTTCTTGAAAATTAATAATTGCTGAGGAACAGGAAGCACTTCATACTATCTCAGAAGTATGCAANAAATAAAACACTTTTGTCTAATTTCGACTAGTTATTTTATTTTTACGAGCGATTTCGGGTTTTATCCCATCATCAAGTATAAAAACCGAAAGCGGTCGTAAAAAAAAACTAGTGGAAAATTAAACAAAAGTGTTTTCATTAATTTCATTAAAGAGATCATGAATTTTCACAAAATAAACAAGTCATCAATAATTACACAATCTAAACTTATTCCTAAAAGTTTTTTATGAAAGAGAGAATGATAAATATGTTTGTAATACGATCTTTTTTCCCGTTCATAGTTCTCATTGCAATTTCCCGACTCTTGAAAGCGTTAAGAAATCCAGTGTTATAAACCGATATCAACAATTCTAAGCAATGATGCTTTATTGTGACTCCATTCTCTAACTCTAAAGTGTGTTGAGTTTCAATACATCGTTAAGGCATTACATGCTTCATTTTACAAATTTCAAACTCTTCATATTGCATCATCCTTTCTATCGAATTGCCTAACAGTTGTTAAAATGAACAAGCAGAATGCCAATAAACCATAACGCATCTCCTTTTCGAAAAGTCAAGGATTTTGACTTAGTTTGAAGAATACCAATTGATTTCAGAAATGACCTAATGAACATTTTTCCTTACTTACTGGAGTGTAGTCCCGAGATTTTTTATTGTTGACAATGGAGATTGCTGCCAAAGGAATATATTTGAAAGTAGTGTACTTATCAGATTCGAAACCGTTTTGTCTATTTTCTCTAATTAGGACATCTTTGAATAAAACCTTCTTGTTATTTTGAATAGTGAAAGTAGAATGAAGGAGTAGATTTCTCCCTATTGAACTTTTTATTTTTCCCATTTTCATTCCCATGAAAAAGAATTCCAGGTTGCTAAAAACCTGATACCGATAATCTTTTCATGAAATGACTGTGTGTTTTAAAATACCTACTACTTCAATATTTGAACTATTATATTACTATTTTGAAACCCTCAATAAGGTAATGTTTAATATGAGATACAAATTGTGCAATGGTTGAAGATATTTTTTTTGAAACTATCCTTGGTTACTTTTTATAAGAATGAAGCTCTAATAAAATATCAACAAATATTTGACATGTAACCCTCAGCAGTTCTGCGTTGCCTTATCTTGAATTTCTGTTCAAGAATTATTGAGATCTATCTTCTGACTTATTGGCATTCTAGAAGGTACGTCAAAAAAGAACAAAATTCTACCTTTCACATACAGTATATTGAAAATAAATCAAATGTTCTTCATTTTCTCGAGACACGTAAGCGTTTTTCCCATAACATATTCACGTAATCAAACAATTTTTCTACTGTGATTCTTAGTGGTAGTATTACTAAGGAAACTTCCGTGTGATTGTTCCAAACAAGGGACTGTATATCGACCACAAAACAATCATTTAACGTCGTGGCGGGGTCTTCGTGGCGCTTAGCATGACGTCATGCTCCGCACGCCACACTATGCCAAACAGCTGTTTTTCAGTTCATGTGTAGGTGGTTATCTTGACTGACAAGCACCTGATTATCGGCCTGCAGCTTTTAACGATGGCCAAAACTACTCTATTTTGGAGACGATATTGATTTGGAAAACGATACTGGATACTAGAAATCAATAATTTTAGCTCCCAAGCAAATCTTCTCATTGAGAGATATGCTAAGACTGAAACTTGGAAAACATGCAAATGTAAAGACAGTCACATCATTAGCCAATAACTTCTGGAATCCTGAAAGATGCCTTCATGAAAATCAAATTTCTGGGTTTTTATGACCAGCTGTAAAGACAGTTGATTTTAGTAGAAGTGACAGAAGATTCAATCCACAAAGCCAAGCTTCGACATTGACCACGGAACAAGATTCGTCTACTATCAAGTATCGGCCGATTCCATCATATGGACCCATCAATAATTCAAAATATCCAAACTTTGGATTCATATTTGAGTGATAACGATAATCTGATAAATTCCAAAATGAATACCTGAAAATTTCAATAGATATTGGGAGGTAAGATTCCTAGTTTGGAATTCATGCACATCGCGAGTTAGTTATATGATAAAGATTCAATTCGCGATATAGAATTCAAAATATTTTTTTGAAACACTTGGTTCTCATAAACATTTTCCGAAAAATAATAATTGGTTCAGTGTATTGGTGTTAACATAAGAAATACCCATAAGATTGTTTAAGTAATTAGCTTGAACCCAGTCAATATGATGATTCCAAGTTGATTATCACTTAATTATTTAATAATTCACTGTTTGGCAAAGTTAATATACTGAAATCAATTTCTCAAAGGAAAACATGATGATATTCGTTTCGAGACTGTTAATATCAGACCAATGATGCAGGCATTGATCAATTTGTTGTCGTATCGACAACAAATTGAATAGTACTTGAATAAATATAGATACAAATAGATACACAAATCTTTCACGAATTGAAAAATAGGGTAGGTCCCAAAACACTACCGCGAGGAATATTATTTTAAATAGATTTGAAAATACCAATTTCAGTGAAAATAGCTTCCAAGTTGTCAAATTATTGATTTCAAAAAGTAACCACCAAAAAGTTTCTAATGATATATTCAAATTCCAGTAACGATAATCTAATAAATTCCAAAATGAATATCTGAAAAGTTCGAACTAGATCTTGAAAGGTAAGTTTCTTACTTTGGCATTCATGCACATCGCGAGTTATACGAGAAAGAATCATTTCGCGATACAGAATTGGAACACCTGGTTCTCACAAACTTTTTCTGAAAAAGTAAAAATTTGTTTAGTGTGTTGGTGTTACCATGGCAAATGTCATAAGTGTCCACCAAAGAGTGTTTAACTGATTTGTTTGAGACTGACTCAACAGCCAAGTCGATTATTACTCAATTATAAGTTAATATACTGAAATCGATTTTTCAAAGGAAGACACTGTTCAATATTAGACCAATAATGCCAGTATTTGATTTCACTTTTTAGCAACTACATACTGCATTGCACATATCCTAGTAGAGCTCTTCAGGATAAGAAGAAATTACGATAAAATAAATAAAAGGTCAGCACGAGAAAATCAAAAACCGTAAAGGATACAAAGTTGGTGAAATTAATAAGATGTTGCCCATTTCCGGGGTTATTTCAATGACGTTTTCAATTGTAGTAATTGAATGATTATAGTGATGTACCAGTGAAGTTGTCGACAAGAAGGCTAACTTATATCAGGTGAACCTTAGAGTCCATACTTTCCATATGAGAAATTAAAATTATCGATGGTTTCTCGAAAACTTAATGTCGGATTCAAAATCTGCAAATGACATCTTCTCCAGTTCGAAAAGGGACAATGAGAGAGTGAATATTTCAAATATCTAAAGGTTTCAGAAAATTCTGAAACATTCAATTAAGCTCTAGAATATACAATTCCTCCTGATTTCACCGATTCCTATCATGGTTTCAAGTTTTTCCATCTTGGCCCACAGTCTATTTTGTCAAAAAGATGATTATCAACTCAAAAGACATAAGGGAAATCAGTGAGGGAGATGCATCTTGAATATCTTCACGATTATTGGAACCTTCATTATTTTAATTCCTGAATTATGAATTATATCTCTTATTTTGTTATGGGATTGGCCGCGGTGGTAGTGCGCACCACTCACGATCGGAATGTCGTGGGTTCGATTCCTGCCTCGACCAGATATTTTTATCGATAGAATTTACCTGGTTGAAGCTGGGATGATTCTGCAACCGTGTTAGGAATCACACGTTAAAAGGTAAGACCTCGTTAGTCCTTAGCTCGCAGAAGTTTCTCAACTTCTGAGAGTTGTCGTTCGTATGGGGGCGACAGCTGATTAACGGAAAAATATATTTTAAACA